ACTTCGCTATTCCTTCCAGACGAAGTCCTCGTTAGTCGACAACACTTCCTTCGCAATCGTCTCCTTTCAGACGACGTCAATTTCGCTATTCGAGATGACTATTGTTTACCTGCCCGATAGACACCATCTTGTTGACAGAGATGGTATCGACTACCCATTCCTATGCCACTGCACTTGCCGACGGCCTCTCTACTCCTCTTTCAGAGACTGATTTTCATATAGGTAAGTCTTGCAATGTTCTACAATCTTTCCACGAGGCTCTTGAAGGTGGTGGTGATAACACCTTCATTAAAAAACTTCGAAAAAAAATGGAAAGTCTGCTCTTATTCTCACAGAGGTTGAAAACAGTACTCTCACATCTTCTTAACGTGCTTTAGTGGGAAAGTTTTTTTATGATCACCAAACACTTGAGATTATTTGAAAAGAATTTGATGCTATGAAACTGTTGGGCAGTTGAAATATTGGTTTACTTGACGGACGACACATACTGATTCAGTTATCTTACGATGTCGATTACACATATTTTTCTCAGAAAGTTATCAAGATCGACAACCGTTATATGAAAATTCTAAAGTAGACTGTTGATTTTGATCCAAAAGTGGAGTTCCCTATTATTTCTGTTTGGATAAAGTTTCCAGGGTTAAAATTGCATCCGGTCAACTTGGAAATTCTCTACTCCTTAGCAATTGCTTACGGTAAGTCTCTCAAGGTTGATGGTCCTACGCTTGCTGTCACCAGATCCTTTATGACTTGTGTGTTAGTTGTGAGAGATATCACTCAACCAGCTCCGGATGAGGTATGAATTGGAACCACCCACAACGGGTATTGACAAAAAGTTGAAATCGAACCACACCCTCCTTATTGCTCTCATTGCAATATGTTTGGTCACAGTTCTACTATTTACTATCGCTTGCATCCTCATCTAAGACCGAATATCACTAACGATCAGCCACCTAACATCCCTGTTGAGAAGATATAACCCAATTCTCTTTCCAACACCGCAGTTCCTGATGAAGTACGCCATACTACAACTACAAATCCATTTGTGCTTATACCACCCACTGTTATTGAAGAGTGCTTACCTACATGCTAAGACACACGAGAGTGCTCATTTGATCCAATACAAGATCAGCTGGTACAACATGTAATTGTTTCTAATGTTCAACAACCTATACATGTTCGACACACTTTAGACCAATCCACTGATATGGTGGGTCAACGTTCGACACACTTTAGACCAATCCACTGATATGGTGAGTCAACCTTCGGATGAGAAATGATAGGTCTATTCCAGGAGAAAGAAGAAGAATGAAGGCCAACTCGAGCTCGAGAACTTATTGGATGATACATTGGTTGCTACTGGCAATGACACTAATCTTATCAATTTATTAGCTGGCTCCTTCCCTAGAATTAGAGGCAGAGGCAAGGCCAAATTGGGTCGCACTCTAGCCACTTGATACTATGTACTTCGGCACTTTTAGGCTTTTTCTTTAATTCTCTCATGTACTTTTCTGTATTTTCTAGTTTTGGAACCATTTGTGGTTATTGTGTGGGCAGGGTGCCATGCTTGGGCCCTTTCACACATTATATCCGTATCTTTATTTCTATTTAATATATTAGCCTTTAGGCTTTCTAAATATATGTGTGTGTGCGTGTTTGTGTGTCTATGTGTGTGTGCGGGCTTTCTAAATATATAAATATACACACACACACACACATGTGTGTTGTGTTGTTTTTTATTTTAGTGTGTGTATGCTTGATGTTGTTTAGAAAATTATAGATGCCACCTATACTTGTTGCTTTCAAATATTTTTTTTAGAAACAAAAAATAAAAACAGGTAAAAAATATACCATATGAATATATTTTTGAAAATAAAAGAAAAAAAAAAAATTGATCCCTAACAAGCGCTTAGATTGAAAAAATATCCTTAAATCACTGCTACTTAATAGATTATTCTTCATTAGAATAGCATTTCAGATTTACTACCCGTTTTAACTTCAGACACTTATACTCCATTTACGTGCATGCTAAACCAGTGAATCAAGTTCATCTCCCAATTTGGAAACAAAGAAAAGGAGGAGAAAAGATTCAGAAGGTCAGAATGAAATGAATCTTGAGCATGTTCCGAAGGAACATGTAAATAGGGGTAATATAAAGATTAAAGCTGCTGCAAGGAATGCTCCTTTGGTGGCAAGGAACTTAAATCAAGGAAAAGTTGTGAATTCATTTGGTGAACATTATCAAGAAGGAAAGCTTCTGAAAATTAAACCAATTGCTTCCCCAGTCATATATAAGAAACAATCTAATCAGTTTGGCATCAATTTAGATGTTCCCCCATCTACAGGAATGCTAAACAAGGATGCTTCATCAGCCAAGCTTGAACCGAAGGATGTTGGCAAGGTCAAATCTCTCTCTTCTAAAGCACTTTACAAAGCAAGCTGCATAAATGAATCATTAGATACTATGTATCAGACATCTCAGGAGAAAGCAGTTGCTTCTCAAGTTGAACCTCAACCAAAGAAGTTGTTCAACTGTGAAAATGAAATGGATCAGTTACCAAAAATACGGCACGAGGACAGGTGCAAAACTTCTGAGTATCTGCCAATGACTTCCTATCCTACACCGACAGATGTGAGTAATCTTGGCAAGCTTAAGAATAAGTAATATGAACTCTTTGTTTTTTATTTTCTCCTTTACTTTTATGACTTCAACCCCAAGAAAATATTGTAGTCTTTTTAATCCCCACGGTATACTGTCTCTATTTTATACTTGTTTATTGATTGTTGACTTTTTCGTCCTGTTACACTAAATCTCTCTGGAATAGAGAGGTTTATTTTGATATAAATTCTTTATTTTCCCTCAGTCGCATTATTCCTTTTTTTAAATTGTTTTGAATATGATTAAAATATATTAGAGTTAATTTGCGATTCAATTTTTAATTCTGTCATTGTTCTTGTTAACAATAAACCGGTACTGTTAGTGAGAACTATATGGCTATTGTCGAGGTGGATTTGTTTGTTTTCAGTTATCCAGGAATTTGAAAGTTCATATTTTCCTCTTATAATTATGTGCCAAATTTTAGGCATGATTTTTCTAGAGTGGAAGGATTGAAACATTTTACTTTTAGCTTTACATTTTAATAAATTCATTAATCGATGGGCAGCCCTTGTCTCACCGAGTCGACAATGTCACAATAAGACCTAAGGGAACCACGCTTGAACGGGCTATTCAAGAGCTTGAAAAGATAGTCGCACTATGTAAGTTCTCCATCAACAACACATTTTAGTGCTTCATTTTGATGGATGCATTAATGTTTTTAAAAAATGAAATACTTAAAATTAACAAGGAATTCATTGCACAGCTAGACCGCCAAATCCTGCAGTTCGAGAAGTCGACTCTCTAGTCCAAGGTGTTAAAAGAAGACTACCTCAAGAAGTTAAGCAGAAGCTTGCCAAAGTTGCTCGATTATCGGTATCATGCCAACAAAACTCTCTTGATAACATTAAAAATAAAATAAAATTACTTTTGTTTGGTTTTGTTGTTCTGATGCTATCAACTACTTTTTGTAAAATTTCTTGTTTTGTTTTATATCGATAGCAGCAACAAGAAATATACTTTATTAATTGTTTTTTTTTATCTAAGAAGTTTTTTGAATACTATTTATTGTACATCTTGTTAGGCAAGCCAGGGCAAAATCTCAGAAGAGGAGCTAATTGATCGCCTAATGGGTTTTCTTGGTCACTTGGTACAGCGCAAGACCTTGAAGGTAGTAATCAAGAAAGTTTACCAAATGATGGGTGCTCCATTAATTAAAATTCTTCTAATTTAGTTTTTTATTTTTATTTTTTAAACCTTTCCTGAGCTTTCTTACTGTACAGGAGTATTAATGCTTTTGAGAAATGGACACCATTTCAATAGAATGTTGACAATTTACTTTTAATTATGATTTTCATGTTTTTTTTTCTTTTTGTTGGACATATTAGGTATGCCACACACATACACACACTAGTCATATAAACTTGAATAGTTATATCTGCATCGCACCCCTGAAGTAGAAACCTGTACTTCAGTTTCTACCATTTTGCTTATCTTATTGATGCATATTACCTCTAATCTCAATTTTTAGGTACAAAATGGCTCCATAATTGTCATATTTATTTTTTCATCTCGATTGTGTGACATTGTATTGATAGTTTTCATTAACTGTCCTTCATCATGATTTTTTCAGAAGTAGGAATGGTGTGCTTCATGAATTCCTCTCCTTTTGTTCTGTAAATTTAAGAAAGAGTCATTCTATATTATTTTGGCAATAACCTTATAAAAAAACTTTTTTGTTGCAATGGCGAGTTGGTTCGAAGAGAATGGTTACTATATATAGTTATATGTGATTGTCAAGCTTTCTTTTTTTTTTCTTAGTGCCAACACATCAAGATTTTTTGGGGGTTATGAGTTTGAGTAATATATCATTTCTTATAAAAGAAAGAAAACTTAACTATAAATTAAAAAAATCAAATTATTTATTCCAAAATTTTATCAAGCCATCAATTTAATTTTTTTTCCTTAATTTTTAAAAAATTATGTAGAAAAAGTAGATGCTAATTCATCCTTTTGAAGTATCACTTATTTTATCTCCACAAGTGATGTGCGTCATTTTTTTAGGGACTTAAAACTTAGGTTTAGCATTGACAAAATTAATGCAGCCTTATAATTTTGGAAGAGTTGATCATGCTTCTAATTGTAATAAGGGATAAAGTGCCTTAAGGTCAATAAGTGCTTAAAATTTGTAATGCCTTTTTCTTGCATCTACATTTTTTTATCAATATGAAAGATTTGGACTTTATTAGTTAGAATAATTATAAAATTTTATGAGAAAAAATGCTTGGAGCAAAAGACAACAAGATACATTTTTATCAATATGGGTTTGATGATTGATGGATTGTGCCCTTGTAGATTTTTTATTTATGATACAAGTGTTTTCTACTCATATCCGACCAGGATATAAAAATTACCACCGAAGGATCGACGAAGGAAATAAATATGGGATATCACCATCAATGATGGAAGGGTACAGTTCCCACCATTCAATGCCTTGGCAGGAGACTCATCCCTATCCGAGAACCAACGTGGGAGCCAAATCTCTCACAACAATCAAATGAACCCCCAAAAATCTCTTACTACAACACAAGACTACCTATTTATAAATGCTAGACCCCCTTATTACAAGTGTGTCATTCAGATAGAAACATAAATAGAGAAACACATAAATAGAGAACAAATACATTAAAACTGAACTCAAACATAATATGGAGTGCACTATTTACTAGAACGCATAATTTGGATCATGACTAGACACTTCGTGCCAATGCCTCTAGAAAGTGAATGCCTTCCAATTCTCTTTTTCAAATATATTTTACATCATGATTTCATATCAGACTATTGCCTATTGCTTGACTTACTAAGGCTTCTAATTGTCCTGTTATCTTTATTTCTCACATTGTGTAATCTATGCTTAAGGAAGACAATTAATGGATGTGTTGAAACTAGCAGAATCTACAACTTGACAACTATTGTATTGTTTCCTTTCTCTTCCGCTATTGCTCTATTTTAATGGTATTGTCATTTGACTCATTCTTCTCCCACAAGACTTCAAGAATTATTTATATTACCTTATTTCTCTTAAACTTGATTTTCAGGCCTGCGAACTGATAAACATCATCTTATGCGTTTTCCTTTCGAGTTAGGCTACTCAGAGGTTTAGGTTTCTAGTTATGCTCTTATTTAGGATTTTAGTATTTTGTAACATTTATTGATTATTATTATAGATCCATTTGGCTTTATTTACTTAAATATTAATTAGTGGTTCTTTATTTTTTTTTAGGATTTTATAAAGAAATAGAAGTACATTTTTTAAGTATTTTCACCTTATTCATTTATTTGTTTTTTATTCGTGCATTCTTAGTTTTGCACTTTTTGTTCTGATAAGTATTATTGCTTCAACCTTTTCTTCTTATGTAGCTCAATAGAATGATGTTGCTTAACGCAAAAATTTTCATTAATGTTTTATATGAATAGCCCCTTTTAGGGCGTGAATGGTAGAGGGGATGGGTACGGACATAGTTTTAATTGCCTAGGGCGTGAATGGTAGAGGGGATGGGTACGGACATAGTTTTAATTGCCTGCTATCTTATCAATCGTATCTCTTTTACTCTCATTGATAATTTTTTTAATATCACTTTAATTTTGTTCAATCAAATTATTTCTTCTTACACCTATTATATTCGGGTGTCTTCTTTTTTCATGCTTTTTAATTATTTGACTAGCTATCCCTCGTCTTATTCAATTTATATTTATTGAATTTTCTCATGCTTAGAAGGGATATAGATGTTCTGATCTTTTTATCTGACGCTTATGTACTTAAGGTAATAACACTTTTCATTTGATAAGTCTTTTTTTTTACCCATCTTTCATTCAAGATAACTTTACTATCGCTTCTTTTTTACTCCAACATTGTGTATGCCTTCTTCCTTTCCTCTACTTGTTTACTATCAATAGCCTCGTCCACCTCTTGCATCAACATCTCTGTCAACATTGTTAGAATTGATTGAGCATCTTTCTACTAATGAGCTATGTTATTCACAATTATCATTTGACCTCCAAAAAGGTAAATATTATATGATTCGCATTTATCAATTGATCTCCAAAAAGGTAAACAATAACATATTACTCATCATATTCACTTTTATATTTTATTTAGTCAGTTATCATCCTTTCATTCATTTACTTTATCTCTATCATTTGTTTATTTTCTTAGGAATTACCAAAAAGTGTTATAGAATCTTTTTGGAAAGAAGTTATGGAGATTGAGATGAGACTTTTATGCACTCTTCATGCAGAAGATTTGGTTATCTTGATTGATTCGTCTAACTAATTCCTTTTATTTGGGTGTTTAATATAAAATTTCATTTCAATGTGCCAATATAATGGTATAAAATTTGTTTTCCAAAGCTTGTCAAAATATTATAGGATGGACTACTTTGATACCTTTCTCTTCGGTTGCCTGGCTGAACTTCTTCTAAATAATCATTTTTGTGGCTACCTATTGTCGGCAGCTAAAAGGGAGGGGGAAGTTGAAAAAGATTTGGTGGGTGATTTGTTCAAAAGTTGTCCGTAAGAAGCTGTCGGTCGCTGGAAGTGAAGTCCCGTCGCCCGCTTCGGAAGGACGTTTAATTTACATACATATATAATTTTAGAAAAATATGGAATCAAACTGACCTCATATTTTTCACAGTTTAAATGAAAGAGCACTCTACCTCAAATCCTGTATCTATCCCGAGGGATAAACACAAGACTTGAGGATGAGACTCGATCAAATAAACTAAGAAATATATGACATCCGTTTGGTCTGCGAAACCGTTTTATTCCTTCCTATAAGGGCAAGCCCCTATAGTTAATTACATCTTAAATGACCGAAGTCAGCTAAGAAAACTCACGATAAAAATCAGAAGTATTGTCTTCAAGAATTTCAATGATCTAGTTTTCAAGGTTGGACATGGGAAAATCAAGTGGGAATGATTCAAATAGGAGCAGTTTTATCGGAATCCAAGGGAACGAGAAGTGAGGGAAGCCGCAGACCTCAAGGCAAACCTTGATGACTTCTCAAACTATCATATTGTTGGGCTTCAGTTTCGAGAAGAAATTATTAAAGTGTTTCATCCTGTCAATTTTATTTAATTAGGGCTTATATTTGCGTGGCATTGTCACACAAATCGCCCGGAGGATATTAGGGTTTACGTCATATCGGACGACAACCTCGGAACCTAGAACGAATTAGGGCTTAAATCGTACAGCAAGACTATACGAATGCCTAAGGAATGCCTAAGGAAAAGGTGGAGAATTTATGTTGCGCTAGGCAAACAACCTCGAAATCCTATGAATTGTTTAATTTCTATGAAAGGAATGATTTTGCTGGGGAAGACAGGTTTTGCTGTTGAAGATGGTCGTGCTGCCCACCGCGCTAGCTCCAAGCTCACTGACGTGACGAGTTTAAGTTTTCTAGGGTGTCGAGTTACGATATTAAATCAAACAACCCTATGGTGAAAGTCTTCTAAACATCCTATATAAAAGAAGACATGCTTAAAAATATATAAATAAAAATATGCAGTACAGGACAACAGTAGGATGCATGTAGAACAGTAGCATGTAGAAACATGAGTGGTATAACATGCTGTACAGAAAGAACAGTAGTAGGTAGAAACAGGACAAGTATAACATGCTATACAATATGGTAGCAGGTAGAAACAAGAAAATTAAGTGCTGTAAAATGTAAAGCAAACATGTACGCCCGTGAGATTCGCTGTTCCTTAAGTTTAACAAGTCTAAATGCATCGCAAAATGCGAAGTCAGAAAGAAACGTCGTCTAGAAAATTCGAAAAAAATTGTAACAATGACTCATGGCAGAAAACTCGAGAAAAGCGACTAAAGTAAAAGAGAATAAAAAGAATCCTAAAAAATCTTAGAGAAATCCCGAATGAAAAGAAAAGTAACACGAGTGCCCTGTCCCAAAGCTTCGATAAAAAAAAAAAGGTCCGGGTGAGGAGGACCGCAAGCTCTCGTATGGGGCTAGGCTCAGCTATGTATTTATACTCGAGGGTCCACGAAGGCTACTCGGTCACTCGAATGTATAAAACCCGCCACTCGTCTAGAAGTGTGTCTCGAACCTCACTTAGAGGGCTATTTCCCAGCCTAAACAAGTATTCGTCAGGTGGA